TTAAGTACCGTGACGCTTGGACGCTTGCGCAGAGGTCTCCGCTGTGCGTAGAGAAGCTGCAGTTGGTGGGAGTTGGAATGCCGCCGGTGAACCCGCCAACAAAAAAGTATCGGTCAAGATCAAACCCTGTAAAAAGGGGAAGGCCCTTGCTGGATAAAAAACAGGTGCGACAGGTGCCACGCTCTCGCTCACAACGGCGAGTGCAACCGGCGGAAGTGGTGGAAAAACCGAAACCACTGGAACTGAAGCCTCGTGGTGGGTTGTCGTATCGGTTCAGCAGAGCGTGGGCAGATGTGGTGGATGATGATGATTAGGCGGAGGCTTTGGTCTCTTATGCCGCTTCCTCAAGCGATTCAAGCGAGGAAGAGACCAATGCCGTGCAACGCATGAGGGAAATCTTTTTGCGAGAAAGGGATTCACAGAGAACTGCGATTCGTGGCAATGTTCCGATGGGTGGTTCTTCAAGCCCCAATGATGGGCAGAAAAAATCGGTTCACCTTGGCGCAGGGCGCGACAAAGCGTCGCGGGGGGAGACCCGCCAAGAAGTGACTTCTCAAGTTTTTTCGCTACCACAACCTTCTCGTCGAACTAAAAAGTCTCAAAAAAGAGCAAGGGATGGCTCAGTTATAGTTGGTTCGCTGGCGGTGGGCTCCACGGATGAGGTTTTACCTGGGCAGGTGTTGCTGGACAGGTGAATGTATCTGAAAGCGCTCAAGTTCTTCCTGGGCAAGAAGTAGCTGGACAGGAGACGGTGCTGGAAGGAGCAGTGCAAATTTCTGGCGAGGAGACTGACCAAAAAGAAGGAGAAGGTGGGAGCAATGAACTCCGTGGTGATGGTGCGAAGACATTGGATGTTCGTCCGGTGAAGAAGGACCCTCAGCAATTGCTTGTTAAAGGCCTTCTGACTCGGATTTATTGGAAGGTTGCTGTCGGCAAGTTGCCTGTGGGGCAAAGGGACTGTCAGAAGGGGTCCAATAAGATGGATCGAAATTTGGTTATTAGCATGTCATCCGAAGGTGCAAGCGAACATGATTTGAACCTGGCACTGGAGGACGATGCTGATCAGTCAATGGATGATGGTGCGATGGTGGTTATGGTGTATGATCCAGGAACGCTGATTCAGTCGCCAACAACTGATTGGGTTATGCGTCGCGGTTTGACCGATCGTACCATCTGGCCGGCAATAGCGGCTGCGGCACAGAGGATATGTGCTGAAATGGTTCAAGTGGATGAATTGAATGCCCAGCTAGGGACTGGGACACTCCTTTTTCAAAGGAGAGATCAAGGACATTATGGTGATTTGCATCATTCGTTCCATGACAATCCGTGCTTGCCGGTGGTGGGAAATTATCCTCTTTCGGTAATGGGTGCATTGCTATCTCCTGGTCTGGAAGGGGAATTCAGAAATACTGATAAGTTTGGAACTGCTATGGAGGCAATTGCCTACGATTGGAGCCGCAGTCCAGGCATGGAAGTTCACGTCGAACTTATGGCAAGGGTAGCCAAATTGGTTGCTCCGTTCCTTACCCTAGGAGGCCAAGGGTCAGTGGTGAATTTGGAATTTCTCTGGCAGCGCGGGAAGGCCCAATTGATGGAGTTCCTTCAGGCGGCGACATGCGCTGATCAATTGGAGGTTCTCTGGAAAAGGATGGACGACGATGCGGATGAAGAAGTGGATCCTTCGACAGCGGTGCTGGAAGTTCTGGGACCGGAGGATGCGGTACTTGATCAAGGGAACAATGAATCCCTTATTCCCATTGAAGATGCTGGAGGTGAGACAATTGGTGACACTGGAAGAGATGGCAAAGCGCCAGAAGTTTCTCCGGAAGAGGAGACATCCAGTGGGTCGTCAAGACTGGCTGGCACAAGGATTTTCTTGTGGTCAGTGTACTCTCGCGTTGCTTCCAACTGGGATTTCTCTACGCAGGACCGCACTACTGGTAAGATCTTTGACAGCACAAAGGGGTATCCTGGTGAAGGACCAGACCATGGTGGCAATCTTTCCTCTAAGAGGAACTTACCCTGGATCTCGGAAGACTACCTCGACGAAGTGGTGTCAAAAAAGATGGAAAGGTCTTCAGATATGGATGGGTTGGATGGGTTTGTTCCGGAAAGTGAGGGACAGTTGGAAAAGGTAGAGGTGGAGAACGTTACTGCCTCTAGAATTCTTATGGCTCTTTGGAAGAAGGGATATAGAGCTGGGTATAGGAGGTTGTGTCGTTTGAACGTATCTGGATGCAAGGTTGGAGCAATGAAACATCCAATCAAAAGGGTGCAGAAGATCGGCACTAGGAAGGCATTCATGAAAATGTTCAATGTTTTTGGATCGTCTCAGCGTGGCTCAGGAGCTGGCGGAAAACCAATCATGAAGGTGGTAGGACCAAGGCCAGGTTTTCCAGCTGTACTCCAAGCATCAATACTGATAGCACCTTGGGTGAAGGGAGCAGTTCTCAGGTACATGGCAATGTTCATGTAGAGCAGAATCGCCCTATGGACCGGTACGAGGCGGAGCGCTTGGAGAAGAGGAAGAAAGGCTTCTGCTATTGGTTCAGCAGGGGAAAAGATCGCTGCAAATTTGGTGAAGACTGCAAATTCATCCATTCAGAAGATGATGTGGTGCTGCATTCGTATTGGTGCAAATACTATGTGGCGGGGAGACCCTGCTTCGCTGGAAAGGAGTGTGCGTTCTCACATGACGCAACTGGAGTAAGGTGTATCCAGTTTGCTCAGTCTGGGAAGTGTCGTTATGGGGACAGGTGTGTCTTTGAGCATGGTGATCCGCTGGATGAACAGAGGCCAAGGTCTCCAAGGACGCCCCCAAGGGACGGCCCAAGGAGAAGTTCTGGTGCAAAAGGTGGAGAAAAGGAGATCTCTCCTGAACAGTTCGATGATGGTGAGGAGGATTTCATGGTTTATGACGATGATACCAAAATGGCGGAACTGTTGATGGAGGCGATTTCATTTCTGTCCAATGGCAAGTCAGATTTGGCTCGAGCAGAGGCGGACCCACTGTTCAAACTCCTGAAGTTCAATGGAGATGCTGACCAGATGGATAGAGAATGGGTTTCGTGGACCACTGGTATGCTGTCCGTGCTGGAACTTCACGAAGTAGTGAAGTCGTATGAGGTTTCGCTCGCGGAGGTGGAAGAATGGGTCAATGACCTGAGGATATGGTTCGAGCGAGCCAACGTGGGAGAAGAGAAAGATCCCAAAAGGGGCAAAAAGAGGTCCCTAGAAAGGGAGTCCAGCAAGGATATTCCTGCCGAAAAGGAGGTGGTTGAGACTTCGGAGACGGAGGTTGCCGTTGAGGAGGAGGTGAAAAAGGTCAAAAAGAAGAGGAAAACTGCAGCTATCGAAGATCCTTACACTCTCCTGGTTCCAAAGCCGAAGAAGATGCCGGCGAACATTGAGAAGGGTGGATCATCATCCAATGCGGTGGTTTCTGCAGGGGAAAAAGCCTCGAAAATGCGCACAAAGTCAAACGTCGTTGGAAAGACGAAGAAGAAGGAGAAAAGTCAGAGCCCCAAGAAGGAAGAGGTGGTAGTGGTGAAAGGTCCTGAGGAAAAGGATCGTTCCTCTGATGTGGATGCGCAAGCGTCTACCACTGTGGATGCAGAGCTGGGTCAATCTTGCCAAGCGATTGAGGACGCAAAGAGAGAAGGATTGGTATCCTCAATTCAAAGGTGCGTGCAGGATCCTGTTCTTACAGTTTCGGACCTAGAGTATATTCTGCTGCAACTTCACCTCAGTATTGCTAACCACCGGAAAAAGAAGTGACTGGATGGTATGGATGAAGGGATGGTTTTTCTCTTTCTGGAGACAGGTGCGCTGGATCAGCCAATGGGCTGAAAATGTGGTGGTTACTATTAAGGGTATGGAAATCCCTGATAGTAGAAGTCAGTAGCTTTTCGCGTAGCGAAGACCACGGTTTGTGGTGAAGAAGGCCGAAGAGTCTTCAATGAAAAGAGGATCATGGTGGAAAAAAGATTCTCTGTGGTTAGTGGGTTTAGCCAATGTGCTATAATTTCGTCCTGGATGACGTAAAACCATATTATGCATTTCAAGCAGCTGGCTGCTGCCCTAATGGCAGTTTTTGGCCAAAGATCTGCACCTCCAATGTGTCCTAGGAAATCCTAGGACAGGGGGAGTGCGGAGCTGCAGCTGGTATTGTAGAAAGGAGTTAGTGTTGGGAGTTGAAAGGGTCAACGTACCCGGAAATCTTTTATGGCTCAAGGATGGCCAGTCCGTCCAAAGAAAAAAGTCCGTGTTTGGGAGTGAGGGTTGGGTTAGTGCCCCTCTACTTGTGTAAGGGTGCCCCTTCCTTTGACCTGGTGAACTTTAACCCTGTGGGTTTGTCTTTCTGGTTCGTTCTGGGAAATTCATTCAGGCAACTGTTGGGGGTTGATACCCTGGTTAGTCCCCTTGCGGTTGCCCCCGTACCCTAAACCCTAAACCCTAAACCTAAACCCTAAACCCTAAACCCTAAACAGAGCCCGAGGATGCCAGGAAACTCCAGCCCCCGACCCTGCTCCCCGCCATGTCGCGAGGCTTTGCTGGCGCAGCGCCCCAAAGACCTCCACAGCTGCAGTCCAACGGCCACAGCCTTGGGGACGACATGAACCCTTAAAGGGCTTATGGTTCATATATGTATATTATATATATATATATGTACATATATATATATATACCTAAGTAGAAGTATGGTACAGGGCTCCCAAGGAGCGACCACAGGCGCTGATGGCGGTGTTGAAGCTGACCATGGTAGGCCTGACTTCGGCTCTCACACTCGCGCGCGGCCGGTCGACAGCTGCACTAACCGTGTGAGTCCGAGCACGAAACAGCAGATGGAGATTTTGGGTTTACGTTGCCTGTTTCTTGGATTCGAGTTGCCACGTGTTGTCATTAGCGGTTTAGGAAGGCTTCGAAACCAAGAAGGAGTAGAAACCGTAGCCTGGCGCAATGCCTGAGTGAACGTCGATTGGACACAGGATTTGACCATGTTACACGGGGACGTGCCCGATCCTCTGTGCCGCGCTGAGGCAATTAACCCAAGCCGAGATAAACGCGGCAAACGCTTCCCTTGCCAAAAATGGGCTCGGGCACGGGTTCAAGGCGTTCAGGGCCGAGGTTTAGGATGAAACTTCCCTGCGCCCAAAGATTTTGCTGAACCCTGATGGCCCGGGCGCTGCAACCCCACATCGCGCAGCGCCGCCAGCTGCCTGGTCAGTTGGGTTTAGGGTTTAGGGCTTTAGGGTTCAGGATTTAGGGTTTAGGGGTTTAGGGTTTCGGGTTTAGGGTGAGCACGGTCTGCGCGAGGTTGTTTCCTGCCTAGACTTCCGGAGGGGCACACAAAAAAAGCAATCTCTCCATGCTGGGGACCCACTGGCCTTCACACGTACATCCGCCCTCCGCACCCCCACTGAACTGAGCAAAGTCAAAACGCCACATGCTGAACCCTCAGCCCTTAAACCCTGGTGCTTGAAGATTTGCTCAAAGTAGCACGAGAGCCAGGTCCCAACGCTGGCCCTCGGCAAGGCACTGCATCACGGCATTCAGGGAAATCACCTGGGATCCAGGTTTAAGGTACAGGTTTAGGGTTTGCAGCTTAGGCCTCGCAAGCTCCAAATCTCCTCATACAAGAGGCTTACAGGTGTTTGAGTCTTCAGGACGTTTCAGGTTGCGAGCTTTTTGGGTCGGGCACTCTGCGCTTCGGGGCAACTTGGGCTCTGCTGAGGCGTGCTGCCTCCTTCTCACTGTGCTTGCTTCTGGGTTTATATGTCTCAGCGGCATCCGCTTGCAGCTCCTGCTCCAGCATTTGCCGATGCAACGCCACCGCGCCTAAGTGGAGATGTTGTGTCTACATCTCAGCCCCAAGATGCTCCGAAGCCTGCAAGTGGAGTCCGCGTAAGCTGAACTCTGCTGCCTCCCCTGCGTCCTGGAGTCCACGATCTCAAAAAACCGCAAGTGAAGCCAAAGGCGCACTGCCAGTGTGACCCCATGGCACTGATGGCCGTGCTGTACGACACGAGATCCGGAACCACCTGAGTTGGGTTCTCTACGAGTACTGAGTACAAGATTCTTAAGGGAAGGGGCCAGGGAAAAAGGAGGGAAGCACGTCGTGCCGCAGGCTTGAGGACCTGTAAAACCGGTAGCCACAGCCGCCGCTTGGACGACTGTCCATGTGGAGGGTTGATGCCAATTGTGGGTTTTCTGGGGTTCCCGATGATGGTATGTGTGGCTCAGTTAGACTTAAACTGACCTGCTAATTCCAGAAATACCTGGAACCTGGTGTTCCCCTAAACCATAAATGACCACAAACCGGTAAACCCACACCCCTTTTGCTTCCGGGCTGCTGCCCCTAAACCCTCAACCCTAAACCAGAAGGCCCCCAAAATCCCTAAATTCTCGCCCATCCGCCACATGGCACATCAGGTCGAAGGTCTCCATGGCATGCTGCCACTGCCCAGCTGAACCAAATGTACTCATCAGGTGGCTAAACCTTGAGCTGGTTTAGGGGTTAGGGGAGCCCTAGGATTTGGGGTTTGAAGCTCGATGCAAACTGGGCGAAGGATAGCAACAAAAACCAAGATCATCGCTGAAAGCTATCCCCCGGAGCTACTCGCCTAACAGCAACACGGTGCAATTCAAAGGGTCGCAACAATCCTGTTTGGGCCTTTCAGATTGAGGGTTAAGCTTAGGTGGGCTCAGCACGATCGACAGAGCTGTTCTCTAAGCCCTAAGCCGTTTCTTACAGCTGGGCTGCAAACCCTAAACCCTAAACCCAAACGCTGAGCCCTGCTGGCTCCCTGAGCTTGCGGCACGACGTCGTTCGGCACGAGGCCTTGTGCGCGTATCTGTCTCAGCACCTCAACGGCCATGTTTGGCAACGTGCGAGAGCACAGGCAACACATAGAGCAAGCCGTGCGTATGATACAAACACGAATGATACACACGCGCAAAGTGGCTGTTTCTTCAAGCTTGAGGGCATACCAAGATACATTCATGCATGCGCACTTGTAGTTTGCATGCTTACTGATATGCGTATGCCCGCGCCTCAAGTGCTACAGCTCTTGCATCAAGCCTGATGCCCGAATTCCTTTGTGACAAAAATCGGATATGTTCCTGCTGTCAAGAAACCTCCAGTGCAAAAGTCCACTGATCGCTGCCGCAAGCTGAAATGGCCAGTCCGAAGGCGAAAAGATCCGGCAAGCAGGATTCCTCTCTGCAGTGGCGATCGGGATTTGAACGTCTGCAGCTCAGGCCTTCAACCATCAACCCTGAACCCTGAACCCTAAGCTAGTTCATGATTGGGGTACTATTGAAAAATTTGACCTTCTATTCCTTATTGGGTTTATGTACCCTTAAAAATGCAAAATGACAAAGTTAGGATTCTGAAGAATATACTGTAGCTGGACAAGCCTGGCCTTCGGCATCTCAGCAAGGATCTGCAGGGCTCGGGCCCACTCCTCATTCTTGGCAGCTGCGCTGATGACCTGACTTTTTGGGCTCTTAAGGGTTTAGGGTTTAGGGTTTAGGGTTTAGGGTTTAGGGTTTAGGGTTTAGGGTTTAGGGTTTAGGGTTTAGGGTTTAGGGTTTAGGGTTTAGGTAGGTGCCTGGGGCTTAGGAACCCAAGCACCGGCCAACCGAGGCGTGAGCCTCTAGCCTTTGCCATGGCTTGCTGGGTAGGGTTTGGGGTTTGGGGTTTGGGGTTTGGGGTTTAGGGTTTAGGGTTTAGGGCTTAGGGCTTAGGGTTTAGGGTTTAGGGTTTAGGGAGGTCGAGCAGAAAGGTAGATTACTCGGCGCTGTCTCTGAGTCTGAGCAAATGAGCGCGACTGCACCGTGGACCAGAACATCAACAAAAGGTAGATTCTTATCTACTATGCTCCCCCACCGTTTTTGTTGGGCTTTGAAGCAGCAGGACGCGGAAAGGGGCTGTGGTGCGATGCATGGCATTTAGGTTGCAGAATGCGACAGACAGCTTGGAGAGTATTGTTGTTGTCGCTGCGCAAGAAGCCAAAAAAACGTATGAAACCAGTTGCACGAACTCTCACACAGCCCAAATGAAGTGGATGCCGTCCGCACATGCCCGTGCATCGACTCCAGCTTTCATACTGTGTGAGTCGAATGTTGCTGTGCTGCTGTGTATGAGGAGGTCCCCGGGTTCGCTGGCATTCCGTCCTTCATGCAGCACCCGGTCGATGCTCCAGGGTAAGAAATCTCAGCCTGGCTTCCTGTCTAGTCGGCTCAGCTTCGTCTCTCTCTGTGTCCTTCTCTTGACACGGCTTCATACTCCTTCAACATCCTGCAAAAAGCGGCAATCGCCCTGCTTGATGCCTTCCTGTTCGCTTCCCACGAAGTGGATAGGAGGGGCTGTCTCGTGGTGCAGAGATGCATGTACCCACGAGTTCTACCCCAAACACAGGAGGCAAAAGGAACGCTTCAGGGAATGGCTTAGGGCGTAGGAAGACTTTCTGAGTTTCTGTGCGGGCTTGGTTCGTCATTAGTGATGGTGTCAGGCCTGTCTCCAGGTCGCGGCGAGCATTCTGGGGTGCCTTGCAGAGAGCGCCCTTCTTCAGTTTCCGCTAGGCAGCTACACCTTGTGCAATGCGTGGCAATGTTCCTCGGGGGCAGAGCGGGTGCCAAACAGAGGTCTCCCACCCACTCTGCTCCATCCTCCGGGCGCCAGCTGGAAAGGCCTGCCATCCACCACAGCAGGCATGAGCAGGTGCTCCATGAGCACCTGCTCGATGCCGTGGAGCTCCAACTTTCTCAGGGGCCCTGCAAGCTACGCATCCTGCGCCGCGAGATTCACGAGTGCAGAACTCTGTATCCCAAACATGCGGGACAAGGAACGCCCCCAGTACAGGCAGTCCATGAAATGGCACATGGAGCTAAGCCCTGAGAAGCATGTTTTGAAAGAGTGGTCTGGAAAACCCAGACACAACATCAAAAAGAGACAGCAACAAACAGCTACACGCGCTGTAGCAGCTAAAACGTCGGCTTGGGGGCGTTTTAGGGTGTACCCAGGGGTGCCCCGCGGACGTTGACAGCTGGAGCCCGGGCGTCGCTGTAGCTCCGCACGTCCGGCTGCTGGCTGGCCGCTTTCATGCTTCCTTAGAATACGAAGGTCCAATTGAGGCCTTGCTTGGAGGCTCAGGGGTCGTTCTGGCCGGCATCAGAAGTAGGGGAAGTTTTGCTCCGCGCAGTACATCTGCCCATGAGTCAGAATGAACATGAATGAACACTTCAGCCATAGACCGTGGGAGCTGTCAAGGATGAAACAGCCGTCTGTCCCCGCACCACCTGCGAATATGTCTTCGACTCAGACCCTCTTTGAACCCTCGAGACTTGTGGATACTCCGACCATTTATTCAGGATCTTTACATAAACATCTCCACCGGACCTTAACCCGAACCGAACCCTAAACTCTCGACGTCACGCTAAACCAGAGCTCAAGCGTCGTAGGGTATGCACCGCCACCCTCCACTGCTTGGCCTTTGCGCAGGCACCTCACCACAGGGGACTGGGTTCAGGGTTTATATAGGGTTAAGACTGGGGGCTTTCGGGTTCTACGCAAGTCGGCCTATACGGTGGGCCACTGACAGTCGGACGATGATTGGGATTACTTGCAAGGACACAAGATGCTGGGTGGACTGCACCGCTTGCGTGATTCTAAGTCGTATTTACAGGACATACATTCGACCGATTTGGGCCACCAGATCCGTCATGCCAGACAGGACTGCATCGATTGCGTAGATGACAGTAATTAGTAGACCCTGTGTTGCATCTGGACTCTGCACGCCAGCCAGATGCTATTACATTCCTACATCCCACCCCAAAACCCGCAAAGCTTTCATTCGCTACTGGGCCGCTGTATGGCCGGAACGCGTCCGCCTCGGGTTTGGGCCAGCCAGGCGAGGCTTCACCGTCATGCAGCGTGTGCTGTAAGACCACCCAAGATCCCTAACTTGTGGCTGGGAAGAAGCAAACGACCAACTGCCTGCCGCCTAGCTTCCTAGCGCTGCAGCGTAGCTCACGGCGTTTCTTTGCACCGCCTCGCGCATATGCATGGGGAAGTTCGGCTTCGAGGACAAGTCTTCCAGCAGCTTGGGAGGGTTTGGGGCGTCGGCCCAAGGTTTGTAACTGGCGGTGTAGCGAACATGCCCGAATCGAATGGCACAGCCTGCCCTGCAGTGGCGAAGCAAGGGGCGTTAGGAAAAGTGTCAGCGGATAGGGAGCTCTTTAAAGGTTTTATGCACATCCTGGCCCTGGAGGCCTCCCTGTCCATGTCGGCAAGCACGTGCATCGACGCCTGCCACCGTTGACCTCAACTCGCAGTCACGCAAGGCCTCCAGAAGCTTGCACTTTAAGCCAGCAGGTTGCGAAGAGAAACGGGGATGACCAAAAAGCAGCCAGAAGCTGCCAAAAGCAAGTTAGGACACAACTCTGCTTATTATGTCGGTGCGGGCAGCCCCTGCCATATGCGATGATGGCCGTGTTGTACACGAAGGCATCCGGCCGCAGGCTTTGCTCCGACAATCGGCGAAGTTGGAGTGCCACCTCCTGCCTGAGAGCTGAGAAGGACAATTGAGGCCCAGGACTTTTGCGGATTTTGAGTCGGTGGCTGCAGTTCAAAAAGTCACCGAGGGGCCACTGCTGCTTGCCCAGCTTCGAGAGCTTCTGGGCAGCTTCTTTGAGAAGCTGCCTCGGTGGCGGTCCAGGTCTAGGAGCGGAGGCCGAATGGGTGTAGAGGCTTCGGGCTTAAAAGAGTTCAGTCAAAAATGCACCCCCAGCCAAGGCGCCTGTCGCCAGCAATCCCTTGCTGTGTGCCAGTGCCGCATTTTGGGCCACTCCAGAGACTTGGCATGGCGGCAGCGCATGCCAGGCACCATCATGCAAAATAAAGTAACCCCAGCAGAAGCTGCGTTTGGCCCCCTGTGTTGGGCCTGAGGGAACCTGGCTTGTGAATGTGATGTGCCGTGCACGCTAGGGTGCTAGCTCTCTCCTCTGCGCCATCGAAGCTTGGTGGTGAAGCACAGCCGTGTAGCTATTCGGCTGCCAGCTATGCCTTAAGAGTGTGGATATTGCAACCATGCAGATTTAAACGCAAGTTGCCCCCCTGAAGAGATTGAGTTGCAGTGCATCCTGCCCCACTTCAAAACGCAAGGAAGGCAAGTTCAAGGCGGGACCCACAAAACTCTCCAAGGATTCGGCGACCCTAGCCCCGGAGACGAAACCCAATGCTCGCACACCAGTATGTCTGACTTGCGTCAGACATCTCCGACTTTGCTATAAGTGCTAGCTGCTAGATGTTGATCGTCCTCCGGACCTGGTTGACCTGCTTCACGAGTGCTTCGTGCATCTTCGTGCGAAGGTAGGTTCAGAACAAGATCATGCAGAGGACTTTATGCTCACAGGGCTGGAATGATGGCTCGGCCGAAGGCCGAGAACTGGCTGTCATGAATGCAACACGATGCTTTGTGTGTTTGTTCCTTGCGGCGCCCTCAATAGAGGTGAATTGCTGAACAAAGTGCTCATGCAAGCACTCAACCAGCCCATCCTCGGGCCAAAACCAACGCCCGACCCCTTTTTACGGTAGCCCTCTGTGATGCGTGCCGACAACTGCATCAACAACCATCATCAACCTCCCCCCCCAAGCGCCCAAGAGAGAAGCCTTCTTTTTGAAAGCGCTGAGAGGCGTCAAACCCTAAACCCCTACCTCAGACCATAGAGCCCTCTATTATTTTCCGATATTTAACTGGACCGGAAACCCATTTCCATAAGCCTCAAAACCAGAAGTTGACAGAGATCGAGGTGGTGACGGAGCGGACATAGTGCCAGCACTTCTTTGGGATGAACCTGAAAGCATCGGCCACGGGCGCGCAAAAAATAGTTCCAGACTCAATGTGGAAGTGGGTCTCTGTGCGGGTGTGTGTGTGTGTGTGTGTGTACCCATGTTGTTTTCAAGGCCACCTTCTAAAAAGCCAAGAACAACAACTACGATACTGTTCTACTCTGCCACCTTGTGCTCCTTCTTGACATACGATGGCTTTCAGCAAGCTGTGGGAGGGTATATCAGGGCCCTTCAAGTGCCGCGAGAAGCGTCTCGGTGCTACCTGTGCATCCCACCTTATCTACGAGGATGTGCGGCTGAGTTGGCCCCTTTTTTATGGGTCAGGGTGTAATCGGGAGATTACGGGTGTTGACACCTCAGTGTTCAATCCGACCGACCTGAACCATGGAACCATGGGGGTTGAGGCACCTCGCCTAGGGTCGGCCGCAGCCTGTCCAATCCCTGAACACCACGAAGCCTCAAAAGGAAAGCCGCTTGTCTCGGGATGAAGCTATCTCCCGCCGAACGGGAGTGGCATACCACCAATCCATAAATCTCTAACAAAGGCTCGGGAGGTGGTAGGGGGCGGGGGAGGAGAGGGGGGGAAGCCGAAGAAGGATTCTCTCCAAGAAACAGCATCTCGCCTGGCCCCAGCAGCGTCTCCGTG